CCATCTTTCCTGCCATGAACAATTATGATGAAACATGAGGACTGAGGTAATGGATTGAATTAATTCAGAGGACTTTTATAAGGACCATCAAAAGATGGGAAAGGTGATGGGGTATTTGGAATTGTGGGACCTGGCATGACACAAATGGTATGGAGTAAGAGTTGGATACTGTTCTGGTTTCAGCTGGGACAGAGATATTTTCTTCTTCAGTGCAATGCTGGGATTTTGGATTCAGTATGAGAATAATGATAACACACTGATGTTTTGGCTGTTACTCAGTAGTGCTTACCCTGAGTGAGGGACTTTGAGTTTCATGCTCTGCCAGTGAGGAGCTGCACCAGAAGCCATGAGGGAGTATGGCCAGGACAGATGACCAAAACTGGCCAAAGGGACATTCTTTTCTTAGAAGTCATGCCCAGTATATAAACTGGAAGGGGATGATTGCTGCTCAGGTCTGGGCTGGGCACTGGTCATCAGGTTCTGAGCAATTGTATAGTCATTACTTGTTCTTTCTTGTTTGTTTTTTTTCCCCTCTCTCTGCTACTAGTAGTAGTATCATTAGTTTATTATCATTAGTATTATATATTTTACTTTGTTCCAGTTATTAAAGCGTTCTTGTCTCAACCCATGAGTTTTACTTTTCTGTTCCTGGTTCTCCTTCTCAGCCCACTGGGTGGGAGTAAGCAGCTGCATGGTCATGTCCTGTTTGGGGTTAAACCATGTCACCAGTCAGAGGAGCAAACAGTTTGCTCTTCTTCCCCAGAAGATCCCTATGTGTTACTTTGTTTTCCTTCTTGTGTGGTCTCACTCTAGTTCATGAGATTTCCCCTGTAGTTCTGCTCTATAAATCTCCTTGCCAGTGCAGGCTTCAGTTTTGGCTTATGTTTTCTGAGCAATTCCAAGAAAAATGAACTGCTGTTCAATTAAAAAGTAATATATATTAATGTAAACATGTACCTCTGCTGCTCATGGGTGTTACTAGAATCAGTCTGGGAACAGCTCTTTAGAAAATATAATTTAGTATATTTTTTGATGTACCAAAATTTTTTTTATTTAAAAAAAGTAAGAAAGTTAAAAAATTAAACATGAAAAATATTAACACCATGAAATAAAATCTAAAGCAGGAAGAGGAGCCTGAAGACATGATGATGTCTCAGAATGTCTGTCTTGATATTTGCTTTGTTTTCTGCTGACATTTTTAAAAGAAGCGCTCTTACAATTTTGTTGGTTTTAGTTTCATGTTTTGGGTTGAAGAGAAGATATGTATGGAAGCTATTGGGAACTGGGCAGTTTGATCTGATCCAACAAGTCACTGGTCATCTCAACATGAGTTTTCTCATCGGGAAACAATTTTTTAAAAACAAATCAATATTAATTCCATTTTAAAGAGGCTATCAGGGATCATTTGAATAAGCTGACAAAACTGTTATCTAAGTAAGAAAGTTTTAGGAATAATCTACTTCTTGAATTTACAATAGCAACTTGCCATCAGTCATTTATCAGACTGACTAAAAGCAGACTTTGAGCAAGTTAATAATTTCTGTTATACTAATCTATAAATATATGAGTATTATGCTTTACAGCAAACTATTTGAGATTTAGACCTCAAAATAGAACCACATTCTTGGAGAAAACTACCTGCCTGTTTGACAGAGCTCTGTAGCTCAATTATTCTCATCAAGACGAAAGAGAAGATGGGAAGATAATTTTTTTTTTTTTGTTACATACTCTGAATACAAGCTTAACATTGTATTTTTAAATTTTGATGTGGGTTATTTTTTTCTGTTCTTTCACTGCTTGAGAGGGATATCTGAAAATATAGTGAGAATAAAGGCAGTGTGCTCCAAAGTTTGTCTGTTTAATGCCACATATCTCGGTAATGAGAGATACTAACTCTGCTACAAACCTTTTCTTGAGGCTATCACGGCTACAACAGCACCATTAGCAAATCCATAGTCATTTAAATGACTAGCTGGGGACATCATTATCCTGTCAATGGATGGGGAATAAATAAAAATTCACCTCCTTTCAAATGAATGCCCAGCGAAGGCACTTCAGTAGATAAATGTCTTATTTTGGTAATACAATCTCTAAACACAGTTTACACAAAGTCTTAGGAAACAACAGAATTTCTCTCTTCTATTCCTGCATCCTTAATAAAGGAATTGATTATTTTAACCTGAATACCCCTGAATTTGGGTTGGTTCATTATACCAGGCAGATCTAGTTTTGCCACACACATCTTAGGAGGCTGCTGATTCTGGGGACTTGTGTAGGCACTCCAACCTTCACGGTGGAGTTCATAGTAACATCTAACATCACTGAGAAGGGGAGCTCCTGTCGTTTTGAGTTAGGTGGTGTAAATGATTTATAGTACAACTTCCTCAGTTTTGCTCAATGACACCATCTGTGCAGGATGGAGAAAGTTTTATATTCCAACTAGCAAACTGTTTCTGTATCTATGAAACCTTTTTGTGGCTAAACTTTAAGACAGTGATCTAAGAAACCAAGCATTATTAGGTTTATATAAAGAAAACCCTTTACTTCTGGTCTTTACTAGGGTACATTTGGGCTGGAATTTTTTCATTCTTTTGCTTTAACACGTATGATGTGGATCTACTCCGAAAGGCTGGACGTCCTTCTACTCAGAAAAGTAGGACTATCTATTACAGAGGGAGCTGTTATGATGACAAGATCAAGAGTAAAGAAAAAGCAGTCAAGTCTCAGCAACACCATAACTGGATTGTGTAATGCTCATGGCCAACAGCTCAGCTCAAATCACTGCAGTCAGTATGAAATTCACCTGGCATGGCATGGTGGTCCTTAAAGTCATCAAGTGAATGTGCAAGCATGCTCCTCTTCAGCTGCAGCAAGTGTGAACATGGTGTCTTGTTTCTCACACAGCCGTGGCCAGATACAGACTTCCAACTTGTTCTGCTAATACCACAGGATCCGTGGATGCACAGCTTTCTTTGGGAAGACCCAACAGTGTTCTTTCAGAAAAGGGTGCGTGGGAAAAAGGGAATCAATCCAATTACCTGGCACCGGCTTTCATTTTTTATCCTCAGCCTGTAGACAGGCTTTGATTCCCTAGTGCCATGCACGATTCTAAATGAGACATGACCACAAAGGTGAAATGGTGTTTTTCTGAGATGGTGCCAGAATGAGCAGGCTGAGGATTTGAATACACAGACCTGGTTTTCTGTTCCAAATCCTAGAACCTCTCTCTGTTTTAATATGATACCCATAAAAACCTTTCAAGACTGAGACAAAATAAACCCCAGAGCATGTCTATGTAAAGGCATTCAGCAAGAAGCGCTGAAATTTATTCAAATTAATTACAGTAGGGACCTCTGACTTTGGACTTCTAATTCACAACATCAGTAAAAAAGGAAATGGTGAAATGGTTTATATTAAAGTGCAATGATGTGGAAAAACCATTGAAATAACACAAATGAAGCTGCAGTGAGAAATGAAACGACAGTCTCATCCAAGCAATGACAGCAATATATAAGTAAATTATGTTACAGATAATTTACAAAATAACTTACATAGATGAAGATAAGCTGAATCTCATATTGCTATTCCATTGTTAAATATCAGACTAAATATTCCTGCTATTATAGCACAGTATTATATGGAATAATAAAAAAAAAAAAAATCAGAGGATTTCCATGTTGAAAAAGATGCCTGAAGTAAAACCCTGATCAGCATATTGCAGTACTGCAAGAAAACTAAGTATTTATGAATTGTAAAGTGACACATTCAGCAGCATGAAGACTATAAATACATCTTTTACATTGATACATCATATCTACACACATATACATATCTACACATGCACATATATACACACAAGCACATACATGCACATAAGTGCATAAATATAATGTGTGTGTATATACATGCTTCAATTTGTGCTGACCGTGGTCAGCTGCATTTTGATTGCATCTGGGGTAGGGTTGTTTCTGCATCATTCTTAGGAGTGTTTGTCATTTAAGTTTTCTAATCTGCAGCCTCTAAAACATTAAATTCTGGCATAAAGATAGAATTCAGGGCTCAGCCATCAGTGAGTCTGATGATTAACAGCAGCTCCCATTGACAAAATCTGCTGTGCTAGTGCTTCTGAAAAGTTATGCTTTTCATGTCCCCATTATTTTTCAATATTATGGTGCATGAATCAGTTAAAAACCTGCTTTCATATAAGCAAAAATATTTGAGATGGACAGGAATGAATACAGTATTCTATACATGCACTTCGTTTTGTACTGTTTGTAAGGAAGGTGTGCAAATAACGTCTGACAAAGTGAAAATGTACAACATTGGCTTACATCATACCCTGAATAATGGCAAGTTCAGCATCATCCTTCCTTTAAAAAAATTAAAATATGTATCTGTAGCATAAATCTGACTCTTTGTGGTTTTTTTTCTCCTGTGCTCCCCTTTTATAGAAAAATCATATCATTGGGGATTTTTTCTTTGGGGACTAAAAATATGTTGGATTTCCAGCCCTCATAGGTTTGCTTGAAGGAAGACTCTTGACCCATAGTGCAGTTACAATAGTTTCCTCTGCCTGTAACTGCATGTTGTGAGAGCTGAAAGTAACTATGCAATTACTGTTTATTAAAAAATCATTCAGTAAATAAGAACGTTTGTGTTTCATTTTGCATCTGCATATGGAAAAAGATACTACTAAATTGCCAAGGATATGTAAACACAGTGATCTTGGTAAAGAATTTGGTTGTGAGGCCAAACAAAATACCTCAGAAAAGAGCTATTCCATTGCACATGTCACTAAAATTTTGGAAAGGGTAAAGTAATAGTTTCTCTTGATGTTGTTATGGTCATGTCTGCATCCCAGCCTCTAGGGAGCAGAAGAATATCCTGAACACCCAAGAGAAAAGGGTGGACCAAACCTCCTTCCTCGCTGCCATAAGAGTCCCACTCACTGCATTGACCGAGGTATGTCCCTGAAGAAAGGGTTTCTTGGGGAGAAGAAATTGTAAACTTGGATTTATTTTCCTCATACCTATCCTGTACAGTGATTGCTATGTTATTTGTTTACAATGAGCATTTAGCATTGAACACATTTTGTTTGCTCAAATTCAGATTCTGGCTGTTACAAAAAGATACAGTTCTGCAGAAACCTGACTGTGTATTGAGGAGAAAACGTGCTTTATGCTAACAGCTCTTCAGAGCAGAAACCTCTACAAAATCCTATTTCAAATCATTTAACTTTTATTTACAACTTCACATTCCATGCACTTTTCATTGGGATCTTCTGGGAGAACCTGTAAAAGTCACCTTTAAAAATACTCAGAGCTGGCAACACAGCACTGATGGGTCTCCAATGAAGTCCAATGTCCAGAACTCTGCAGCAAATGACAATCTCCAGATTTATCTTCCAGGGAGGTGGGATGAGCATTTCATATTAGCCCTTAATGTCAGAGAAGCTGGTGCTACTGACATTGCAGCTATCACTGCAACTTGATGATGTGCTCAAATTGCTGGAAGCAGTGCCTGATTCTGGGAAAAGGGACAAAACAAAACAAAAAAAACCACAGGAAAATGTTATATAATGGTTGTTTTTCATTACTTTCTTTGATAATAGGAATCTTCAAAGAGACAATAATTTCATTTAAAATACATAGCCTACCAGAGCTGCTTAAAGATTGAGCTGATTTTGAGTTGCCTATGAGCATCAGCAAATTATTTGCTGGAATCCAACCTTCTCTACCACTGCTCAGGTTCTTCACAAACCTAAAAAAATATAAAAAATTAGAAGTCAGACTTTTTCATTTGATGCCTTTGGAAGTTTTGCCCTAAACATACCAAAGTCCATCCTCCCCTTCACGAATCAGTTGAACTAGATCTCCACTTTTCACTGTAAATTCTTCAGAAACTCCTTTGTCATAATCAGTCACAACTGTATATTTACCAGGAGTCTAAATGCACACAGAGGAAAGAAAACAAATTACTTTTGTTGAGTACTTTAAAGTATGTTGCAGCTTTTGTTATGTAATTATAATACTTCTTGCTTCTTTCTCATGTACTGACATGCTGAAGATGGTGAAAATATATATACTGTGGCATTAAAAGTCTGCTGATTGATTACCTGCAAATTCAATACATGAATTCTCATACCCTGAAAATTATTCAACGAAATGTTCCCACTACAACAATTAATTCATATGGCTACAGAAAACAGAATCAAAAGAAACAGAAAACCTCGCAAACCCATGCCATGGTGTCTGTGTGGAAGCCTATTGACATGGTCACTGGAGCTGCCATGGCTTGATTGCTGTGTCATGGCACAAGCAGCCATGACTTGCTGGGCTGCAGGTGTGCAAAGGCACAGAGGGACCAACCCAGGGAACAAACACGGGGCTGATTTAAGAGAAGGGGTTCTTCACTGCCCTGGGAGTATGGCCCAGCTGAGCATTTCAAGGCAGACACTTTCCCTCCTGCCAGCTTCAAAAGCATTCCTGAATCCTGCTACACACACTGTGCTGGTAGCACTTGCTTAGCTCCACAGGAAAGCATTTCTGGTTACCAGCTTCATCTCGCCTCCTCCTCCTCCTTCTTCCTCCGCATCCGATGAATTCAGCGGTTCTTCTGCACTAGACCAGCCGTCATTTTCTTCGGATGCATCAAGAGATTGGGATGGCTTGGCCCAGCCTTGGGGAAGGAACAGCCAACAGTTAACTTCCCAGGAGTGAGCCACTGACCAGGAGAAAGGTTCTCCCCACTGAAAAGCTCGCAAGCAATCAACATAAACAGGAGAAAAACTGACACAGGGAGGTTATTAGAGTCGCTGGGTGAAATTCCCTGCAGGCAAAAGTTGGCCTGTTTCCTTCTGAGTTAGCAGAGTTGTGGAAATGCATGGCAGTGAATTTAGCCCTTTGGATTTAGATAAAGGGAAATGAATGGAGATAAAGCAAATTTCCAACTGAAAAGCAAATATATAAAAATAGTTGTATAATAAATATATATTATACAAAGATAAACGAGGGATAGATAATCTTTTTTTCTTGGGAAGAAGCAGAAGACAGGAACATACACTTTCTGGGAAGAGGTTGAACACACAGGGTTGTCACCCAAAGAGACCTAACTAGTTTGCTGGAATAAGGGATAGATAAGCATTGCCTCCTTCACACTGTTAAGCACTGTCAAAAAATTCCACACAAGTTACAAGCACTCTGTACTTCACCTGACAAGGTAGCCCATTATTTAAGAGTGTTCAGTCTGATGCAAGAATACTTAAGTACTCTGAACTATCTTGGTGTTAAGTGACTGCACCAAACACCACAACAACAATCTCCTGCCTGTCATTTACTGCTTTTTCTCTCTCAGGGTGCAGCATTTAATTTATTCATAAAGATGAATCATATCTAGAGTGTGCAAAATCCTCTTCCAAATAAAACTTCATTAGATTTTATTAGTGGGATGTTTTACACCAAGTTCAGCAGCTGCTAATAAATATGTCGAGCTTATAATGAAAAAAGTCATAATAAAAGAGACAAGTATTTGTAAGCAAGCTTTCGTTTCAAGCCAAATATTAACAAGTGAAACTCAATGAAAAGAACGAAAGGAAGAACAAACCTCCCATTTTATGTAACTATTAGTTAAATTGAGAAAGCACCAGCCTTTTTTCTTTGCAGTGCTCCTGAGACATTTGTCACACAGTTGTTCATGCCAATGCATTGGGAAAAAACAGAGCAGTATCAGAATAAAGCCAAAGAAATCATAGAAAGGAATCACACCCAGAGCACACCAAATGGAGTGGGACTTTTACCTTGCCTATGCTGCTGAGTCACCTGCACAAGATTGGAAGTACTGACCCATTTGACCCTGTCCAGGGTTAAGAATGAACTTCTATCTGTGAAGAAACTGAGTAATGAATTTCTGCTGTATTCCATGCAAATTTCCTTGGAAGTTGTAATTGGCTTGTTGGATACAACTGAAACTATTTCTGTTATTTCTAAGTTAAGAACAATGCAACAAAAGAAAACTTGGTTTCTCCTAATTATTCCAAGCTCTCATTAGAAACAGAACCAATGAGTTGTACAAAAGAAAAAGAAAGTGAAATCACTCTAAGTGCCTGTAACATCATACTCACTGGGTAACAGTTTGGGTACATTTTGGCTAAGAACTCTCATTCCTCAGCCTCTTTGTTTTCTTATATTGTGCTGATGTGCTAAGAGCAGATTGGCCTGATCCTGCCATACCAATGATGCTACTCCTCCTCATACAAGCTGGCACCCTACAATTAACAAGTCTATATAAAAGCCCATCTCCTCCTGGGAAGGAAGGTGGTCACCATGGTAGTATTCATATTAACAAACTATGGCACCGAAATTACACATGCACATTCAATCCATGTGTGTGTGTTCTGCAGAGTGGGACTACATCAGAGCTCCCTATAAAGGCAGGAAAAGAGTAGGCAGTTCTGGGAAAAAACAAGGTTATTCAGAAATTATTTTAGATATAATGATCCCAGGAAAACCAAGAATTCATGCTTCCCTTCAGAAATAATCTAACAGGTTTCTTCAAAGAGCTATGATCAGCCTACAACATGTAATTCTGACACTAATTCATATTCCTTGAGCTCACTTCAGCATGAATCAGAGCAATACAGAGCGGTGCAAGGAAATGAATGGGGGCCATGTGCTCTGCTGTGGCCAGCACATGGTGCAGTTTCATCCCGAAATGCCCAGGTAAGCTCCCTGCTTATCCCTCTTTGAGCTGGGGAAGGAGAGGAGATAAAGTGTCAGAAAAGAGATTGGAAGGTGCAAGACAGAAGGAGGAGTTAGTAGATGCTTTAAATCAATTTAATTGTTTAGCAGTTTCATGAAGTAAGATGCTTCTGGGACAGAACACCAAATCAGGTAAGTCTGTTCCGAGGACACAATAATTTTACTGTGAATCAGCAATGATCAAGGACTCTATTCCTTGGAAAATTCCAGCACCCAAGGAAAAGGCCATAAAACACACTTTTCTTTCAGACATTTTTGGGTCCTCAGGATTTCTATGGTACCTGGGGATCTCAGAGTTTTGCCTGTTCCCTGCAGAAGAACAACCTTGTAACTCTCATATCGTCCCTTGTGGTGTTTCTGCAGGTGTCTAGCCCAGGATTAAATTGCCTGCTGCTCAGCAAGGTGAATGGTGTTGCAGTTTCCCCAGCACAGCAGCTGAGCTTGCACCATTTCCACAGACAAGACAAAGACTTCAGAAGCCTGGAGAGAAGGCTGATGGTAGGGATTGAAACAGCTTCACCTTTAGACTAATATTTTCTAAAGGAGATAGTGGTGAAAAGAGTCAGAGGGAGAAGGACTGCTCTCCTTGTACTCTCTACTACCCTAGTTAATTAGCCCTAGGGAATTTGTACTCAACTTTCACCATCAGCCCTCCTGGTCAGAAATGGGTTGTTTAACTGAAATAATTTCCTATTCTCTGCTCAGCTGTGAGTTGGGAGGATAGGAGGCAAATTGCTTCAAGGAGTTCAGTTAAGTCATCTGGGGTTCACAGGATGGTAAAAGTTTCCTACTGTGGCTCAAAGAAAGATGCAACAAGGCTGTGTCTGCAGTAATAAATGCAGATCTAAACCAGAAATTCCTCATGACAGCAATCTGAGTTTTGGAATTTTTTTTTGCTTTTTTAAAAGTTAAATCCTCTCCACAAGGGCCCCAGTGACAGAAGGATTCTAACACATGGAAAACCATGGTCTCAGAGTAGCTAGACAACCCTGTATTCCATTAAACACATGGCTTCTGGCTCTTTCTTCAGCAACAGATCTCTTTCCCCTATCTTCTAAAAACCAGTCACCCATATGCTACTTTATTTAAACAAAGGTCAAACTTCAAAACCAGTTGTGCCATTAAAACCAGTATCTATAGATCCACTTGGAAAAACACAGCTGATGTCAATAGTCCTGCACACAACAGCATCATACAGGTATTCTCAGCACTCTGATGTAATGTATCACATGAGGAATGTGTGGGTACTTGTGGAGTACAAGATGTGGCATCACTGTACCTCTTAAACCAAAAGGAGTTGGGTCACTCACTACTTCGTGCCGTTTGGCTTTTTTGTCAGGACTGGTAGGAGAAGCTGCAGGAGGATGAATAGGTAAAAAACACAGAAGAGAGATATTGAAGAACTGGAAGAAAGATAATAGGTGGATTGCATGCTAAATACCTTTGAGTTTACACTGGAAAACAAATGGATTTCTGTAATCTAATTTTAGCTGTCTCTGGTGCATGGTAGCAGAAGGAATTAACTATTTACAAGTAGTTATTTGAAGATAAATTGACAAATTTATTTTACAGTAATAGATGAAAATATATAGAAACTTTTCTAAATTGACTAGACATCAACTGAATATAATTAACTTCAAACATTACCAAATTAAGCAATAATTTTTATGTAAATCTAGTGCTACAGCAATACCTGGTCCTGTAAGAAGGATCATTGGCAATGTCTGGCTTTTAGCAGAAGGAGATGGAGTTTCTGTCAAGGCAAGCATGGGACATTAGTGCTCACCTCAGTAGCATTAGATACATAACCCTAGTCTCTCCAGAAAGAACTCAAAGGTAATTGGGTTTTAAACAGGCATTTTGGAAGGAAGCTTGTGGGGGAAAAAATACCATGCTGTTTAACAAGTGCCATCATCTTAATGCAATTCAGAGTGTTCAAAGACAGCCCTTCAAAGCAAGAAGTGACTGTACCAGTGTGATTACTTGGCTAGAGGAAACAAGGAAAGTCTCAAAGTCTTATTTCCTGTTTCAGGATAAAAGAGGTAAAGACCATTTCTGGAAGAATAAGAAAATTCTTACTTATTTTTCTATCCAGCAAAACAACATTGTCATACACATTCTGCTGTCGTTATTGATGCTTTGAGAATTTTGTTAGCAAAGATGTCAAAAAAAAAAATTCCTCTATAAAACCTTCATAGAATCACCTTGATTCCTTTTTGCCAAGTACAAGTGCACTTGGGGCAGATCCACTGAAGCTAGAAGCAGGCCAAGTGTCTGGTCAGAAGACAACTTCCTTCCTCTAGTGTTTCTACAGGAATGGGACACTATAAACTCTGTCCTTGGCCTTGACAGTGAGATTGGAGGCACTGGAAACCACACTCCTTCTCTTGCATCTCCCCAGCACCACTTTTCCTAGCTGCATCTCCCCCTCCCACTCTGGAGCTGGCTTCCCTTGAAATCTCCCTGTCAGAGGCACCAGCGAAGGAACCTAGCTTGACCTTGGAAGAACAAGCTAGTGTGTACACTGAAAACCTATCACACTTCACACACATACAAGGTGATGCTTCAATTACAGCCTTACACAAAAAACAGTCTAGCCTTTTTTTTAAGTTACCTTTCTGACTTTTGAGGTTAGTAAAGCCCTGCAGCGTAAAGCGCTTTTTTGACAGTACAGAGCATTCTGAGGTAGAGCTAGTGTTGTCTACAAAGGAAGAGAGAGACAGAAAGAAAAAGGGAGAAGGCCATGAAAAGATCAAGGCAAAAAGTCATTAGCAGCTGTGCCAGGGAACCTGCATGTTAGGATGAGAAGGGCAACTGAAAGTCCAGGTACAACACAAGTGTCCAGTTGTTCTTGCTGAGCAAGGGCCACTGGTTCAATAAATAATTTCCACGATGGGAAAAAAATTAAAGAGAAAAAACGTAACAAAAAAACCAAAACAACTCTCTCTTAGGTCAGGTAATGCCAAGAATTTTTTTCAGAGAAAGAGAACCCTGAGAAGCTGGGCAGCTTTAAGAGAAGACCTACTGCAGACTTCGGCATCGTAACAAATAGTTCCCACCTGCCTTTGGCTACCATCCATTCAAGAAGGCTTTGGGTTTGTCCACACCACACACTGGAATGCAGAAATCAATCCCAAGCTAAGGGCAGAAGGGACCAGCATGCTGGTTGCAGTGTGGGCAGCACTGTGTGGGTGGGCTGCCCCAGGGCTGAAAAGAGCAAAGTCCTGCTCCTTCAGGAGTCCTGCTGCCTCCCCTGCACTACCGTGGCTACTCTGCTGGTGGATCTGCCTGTGCATCTGCAGTGCAGGCATGCTCCTTGCAATTAAAGACCACGGCATGTATGGGCAAACTCACCTTTGCCTTTCTCGGGATACTTTGGTGCTGCTGTAGTGCCACAACCTTCTACACTTGGGAGATCAGCTTTTTTCTCCTCCATTTTTTTAGTATTTCTGATGTGGTTTCGTGAAGGACTGTTTATTAGAAGAGAATGAAGATAATCAATCCAATTACAGGCTTTTACATACAGATATATAGGCTGAAAAACACTGATTTGTTACTTCCCAGACTGCAGCTTCCAGGACTGAAAAAGTCATTGGTGATTGTGCATTTAAAGACCATGAGAACATATGAATGAGAAACCTCTCCTGACTAACTGCAGTCACATATACTGTGGCAGTGGGAGATACTGGAAAGATGGCTCAGGATAACTTCCACTTGCTTGCAGCTAACTGGTTCCTCCTGAATGTTCCAGGAATAAAAGAAGAAAGATAAAGGAATAAATTCTGCCTGTCAAAAGCTCTTAGTACAGGAACAAATGGGGGATCTTGCAGTGGATTCCCATCACAACTCCATCTGGGAATGGGATAAAGACATTCCACAAATATAATCTATCTGGGAAATTCTCCCTGAGCAAAAGTAGATGCAAAAAAGATGCAAGGCAAAGAGTTACCAATATATATTTGAGCACACACGATATGGATATGAGTTATGGATAGGTATATACATACATATGAAAAACCAGACTGAGCAGCAGAGGATTAAAGAGAGGTGTCAGGCAAGGGCAGAACAACAGATGGGAACAGAAAAATATATAGGTTGGTATGGTGAAGGATGGAAAAAATGAAAAACTTTACCCAGAAATTGGGACACTGGAGGAATTTAAACATTATTTAGGTTTAAAAAAAAGGTAAAACTGGAGTATTGGAGTAAAAGAACAAAGAGAGAGAAAAGATAGTGCTGTGAAAAAGACACAAAGTAAGGTAATGTGACACTGGAAAAGAAAGAAAAAGTAAAGGAAAAGAACAGTGAAGGAATAAAAAGCTGCTCCATAAAACTCTCTTATCTGGAACATAATGTATATCATCAGCTGCTCAACAAGCAGATACATAATACCACCAGGATTTTGGCTGGTGTAGAAGATGACATTTCTGTGACGTTCTCTATCAACTGGCAAAACACATGCCACTGCTGCTCAGTTTAACAGTTTTGGAGATGTATAAACTCCAGGCTTTACAGCTTTATAGTAGGAAGAGAACTAAACCAAAACCTTTGGTTTAGGACCAGTATTAAGGGGTAGGAGCAATGAAGAGCTGCAAATCAGATGTATTAGTATATTTACAAGATAGTCAGGCTGATGTGACAACATATTTACCTTGCACAAGATGATGCTGGTAGTGGTAGAGGTAAGCTCTGTGTTTGTTCTAGTGTCCTGTGCTGACTAGCTTCTGTAATGGAGGAAAGAAAAACAACTATTAAAATTGATTTGTGTCCTACACAGGGAAGATCTACAGGGCAGGATCTGAAGATCAACGAGAAAATAGATTTTTAAAAATTGAAAAAGAAAAAAGACAATCTCCAAAGTATTTTACCTCTGCATGCCTGCAGTTGACTTGTCAGCACTTTTCTTATTTCATTTACCCAAGTAGCTTTAACTTCAGGGGTTGGTGCCTACCCAAAAATAAATACAATCAGCCATCAAGCACAGAATAGTTATTACACAAATAGTTGCATGCCAAAGCATAGCCTCAGAAGAATCATTCAAGAGGGAGACAAAGCTCCCTTTCCAATACTTCCATGAACAGAAATTGATTGTAGCCACCAGAACAGGCTGAGGCAGAGGCTGTGCATGTGCTACAGCCAAACCCCATCTCCCAAGCCCTCCACTATTCCAGTGACAGCTACAGTGATGGTGTATACAATATCCTCTATGGACATTGTTAAGATGTGATTATTTTCTTTCCCTAGAAGACTCTTCCATTGAAATATGATTTAGACTCTCTTTTTTTTCCTACATTTCCTCATCTCACTCTATTAGTGATATAACAAAGGAAAAAACCTCCAGATCTTCTTAGGGTTAGACTCCTGCTCCCCTTTTCTATTTCTTATGTAGGGCAAAGTAATTTACCTGTATAATGTAAACTTCTTCCCTCGCATTATACCAGATTTCAAATTTTTTTGCATCACCTTTGACATTTTCTGTTATTCCAACTGCAGCCATCTGGAAGCAAAGAGAACAGAAGCTGACCTACTGCATTGCAATTATGTTAAAAACAGAAGAAGGCTGCTGCTGTTATTCTTTGGTACCTTGTTTCTGAAAAGGAAAACCCCACCTGGCTTCTCGCACAAGGAAATGAATAGCTAACAACTTGTGATCTGCATGTTGGAGACAAGAGACTTAGTGCCTTGTATCAGCCTGGCTACCTTGGAGGGAAGAAGGGTTTAGGTACATTAGATTGAGACTGACTTGTAAAACGTTGCTTTTAAAATCCAGACCACCAAATGATATTTACATCACCTTTCCCTGTATTTTCTGTGTGATTAATGCGACTGCCATTCAGCTGGACAGACAGCAACACAAAATAACACAGACCTGCAGCACCAGACAGGTTTGTCTGAAAGAGTGAAGTTCCCAAACTATGCTGCAGCACAGGTTTGCACACATAAAATGAGAATGTTGTTATTACTACAGGCTAAGCCCTCAGTACCTTGACCATCAGGACTGATCAGTGCCTTACATTTAAGGAGTGTTTGTAGCTATAAGAAGGTGCTTTCTCATATCCCTCTCCATTTTCTTCTCGCTTTTTACAGAACAGCACTGCTTTCTCATGGAGGAAGAGGTGTCGCTGCATTGGCTTGAAGCGTGCCAAATCTTTCACCTTTGTGTGACCCTTTTTATGATCAGTCCAGACATTGAAGGATCCCTGCATTAAAAGCTTGCCCAGCTCATTCAGGTTTCCCTGGAACAAAAAGAACAGTGATATTTGTAACTACAGAGATAATATCAGATTAAAATACAGAATCTAAACAGGTCTTTAGAAGGTCTGCTGTTCCCAATAATCTCTCGTATCAATGTTTATGTCAGATTTGGAATTTCAATAAAGTCAGTGTTGAATTTTTACATATAATTTTCACTGGCCAACACTGCTCAGGCAGGGTTTTACAGTCGAGAGCACCAGTAGCAGAGCCATAGAGAACTACACATAGCGAGAGGGAAGCACAATACACATTTGGTTTTTTGCTCCCAAACTCGGCTCCAAATCTGCTTATGTATTGTTTTGGGTTTTGTTGGTTTTTTGGGAACTGAAAGTTTTGGGTGTAGTTTTACACAAAGATCAACCTTAGGTACACAGAGGAAAATATAAGTCATAGCAGGAAAACTTCAAAAGAGTATAAAGAGAACTCTTTTCTATGATTTTTATTTCACAAATAAGTTTAAAGGCATGTTTTGTGAAACACTCTTCTCATTATTAGTACATAGTATAAGGTATGCTGTACATTCATCTAAAAAAAAAAAAAGAAAAGGAAATTAAAAGTAAGCAAAAATACTGCTACTCACATCATAGCCTGTAATGGCTATCTGGTGCATAGAATCATTAACTGCTTTAAGAATGCCCAGGATAGAAGTCAGTGCTTCCTGGAGATCTTCAGCACCTTCACAGTTCTTACTGTACTTCAGCATTTCCTGAGTGCAAGGGAAAGACAACACACTTACTTAGCTTTTGAAACAGCAGCAACAAGGAATGTCCAAATTTAATACCGAATTTTAGGCAGGGGGTTTGGAATGAGATGATCTTTAAGGTCCCTTCCAACCCAAACCATTCTACAATTCTGTGATTTTAAAGTTAGCAAAGTAAAGCTTTATACCATACAATCTATTTAGTTCAATACTAGATGGAACTCAATAGATCCTAAATATTTACTTCTCATCTCTGCTGCTAATTTGCCAAGTATATTTTGTTCATCTAGAGATTTTTTTAAGCCGTATGTAAGAATTTTACAAGACTAACTTTTCAAACATCTTTTTCATCACAATTGCAAAAAAACCCAAAAAAAACCACAAATCCAAAACCAAACCAAACTAACAATCCTGAAACAAAAGGATAGAGTTTTTTCATTTGTTACTCTTTAGAAGTGAACAAATTTAAAAGCATAGCCAAATTTAATTTACTCTTTAGATTATGGCAAGGCCTGGCATGCTAGTAACAGATTTAAACTTACTGCATTGGGTATTGTCTACATATTTAAAAAGGAATCCTTTCTCTAAAGGGATTATGTGTGAAGCAGCATCTTCCAATTTGATACAGGTAAACACGCAGCAAGTTCATGTGGAACTCCTCTGACTCCACAGTATGAAAATAAGAATTTACTTATGGACTGTAGGAAGTTAAGATATTTTAATTCAAAAACCTATATAATTCTCCTCTTTTTACACAAGACTAAAGTAATTAATTATTTAAATTCTGGTTTGAGGTCAATTTTTAAGCTACTATTAAATACATGAACTGTAACATGTCTTTGTGAGAAATATTTCTTAGTTCAAACATGGCAAAATGTTATTTAATAATTTAAATAAATTTTGCTCTTATTTTGCTCTCTCAGTATAGCATATTTAAGTGAATCACAACAGCATCCTTCATACAAACACCATACAGTGCTCTCTCTCAAGTGCATTTCCTACAGTCCAGAAAGGCAAGTTCCAATATGAGTGGGGTGACTATAACTGAAGCACTTCAGATACTCTATCATCTTGGTTTCAAAGTTTTCTTGGACCTTCTCTTTTCCCCTCATCAACTTCTCACCTTCTTTTCAGCCACAATCTAAAGGCAAAAGTAGTTACACAAGATGTCTCTGTGTAATGTTTGCTTATTTGAAGTTTTCTACTGAAAGAAAAAAGAACTGAGCTGAAAACTGATGGACAGGGATTTGTGTATTTCCATTTACACATCTGTTCACTAACTTTCATGTTTCTTTCCAGCACGATGAGAGAAGCAGCATTCAAAAAACAATGCACAAAATGTGCTTAGCATTGTAGTTTAGTAATACTTACCTTTAGCAGTAATTGGTATTTGGTTATTCTTTGAACAGGTTTCAGCAAGTATGAGTCCAAACTGAGTTTGTGGTCGAGCTTCCTTTGACATTCCTGTAATCAGTGTTGGATTTCATCAGGACACTAATCAGTATTTGTGCTATTTGTTCTTGAGAAGATTCAAACCAAACAAAAAACCCCAGACCCCAATAAAATCAAAGCCACTATTATTTTAGGGATTCAAGCAAGCATACCTGGAAGAATACAGAGTCTGAAAACTGCCTCCACAAACTTTCAGATCGAGGTTTATTTTGACAGTATTTTTCATAAATCTGGAAGTCTTCCATCTGGAATTGGAGAGACAAGCAGAAAGTTCATGAATTCTTGTGACTTTAGTAGACAAAGTTCATAACAATTTTTTTCATTTTCAATAATGCTATAAAAAATCCACCACCACTAAAAATTGAATCATTGTTTTTTACTTAGGATACCTCAAGGAATTGCAAAATCGCTGATTTTGTACTGGCTACTAATTTGCAAAATAAAACATTGCTGTTAATTTTTGCTTCAGCTGAATGTTAAGCACCTTATCAAGAAGCATATGTTTTATTTACAAATATATTCCTACTACAATCTGAAAAATATCTCTGTGAGTGTAGCTTTTTTAAAAGACTTTGTCCTTTTTCTTTATTTTCATTTCAAAAATGTGTTTTTCACTGGGAGTCACACTAAGGTAAGCCAAGCACTTTGTTCCCCCTTATTACTTAAAAAATTAAATAGTATGACTTCAGCACTTGCTGAAAGCAAAAGGAAATAAAGAATGTTGAAAATGTTGTAGTGACCATAGATATAAAGGAAAGACCAGGCAGGAAATCAGCAGGCACGGAAGCACCTCCATCCCTCAGTTTTAGGAAACAGCATCTCCATGGATATAGCCTATAAACAGAAGGGAGAGGGAAGGCTCCTCCCAGGAGCTTTAGCAGGAGTCTGATTTCCATACACACATTCTTATCTAGCCTGTAGTAAACAGGTGAGACTCATTGTTTAGTACATCCCCAATTTAAAAAGTTTATTTTTGCCATAGGTTTCTATTTTTGGAACAAAAATGTTTTGGATTTACTCTGTTGAGGTGCACTCTTAAAAAAAAACTCAAACAAACAGAAAAGAGCAAAACAACAATCCAATAAAGAAATCTAACCAAGTAAACCAACTATTTATAGTGATGTGAAACGATGCAGTGCATGACTCCTCTTCATGTTTTCCTGATTGCCACTTTAAAAAAACAGTTTTCTTTTAACGAAATAGTAGGTTTTTCTAACAAAATCAATTGTGCTGCATAGGGGAAAATATCTCAAACTCTCAAATAGCATCTACATTCTCAACCTATTACATGCTCAGGACAAACAAAGGGGATGTGGTGGCAATTATGTGAGAATCACTCTGACATTTTACAGCCCTAAAGAGGTTTGTGAAGGAAGTGCCAGCAAAAGGTGACACATACCTGATCCAGAAAGCACCGTCCTACTAGCTCTGGGTATTCTATATAGGTTTCAAGTTCTCTCAAGAATATTCTATGAGAAAGAAAATTTTCTTAGAGCAGACATTAAAGAAAGATGTCATAATGTTCACAGTCTTGCAATTCATTTTCTAAACTTTTGGAAACAGAGTTGTAATGCTTCAAAACTAAACATAATTCTTCTAGATCATGTACTTTAAAGGGGATAGCAAATTAAAACAAATATTCTGACATATTTCTTTTAGCTTACTGTTGCTGCAACTGAAATCAAATACAGGGTTGGAGAAGGAAGGGGGATTTAATTTTCCTTCCTTATGTATTCAGTAGCAGAATTTGTACAGTTTAAAGTGTTTGAGTTTTGCTTCCAAATACTACCAAACACCACACACCAAACAATCCAAAAGCCACCTTCCCAAAACTAAAAATTAACCTACCCAAAAAACAAATTTAAAAAAAAAAATCAGTGACAAAACTTTCATTCTAGTTTTGCCTGAATAAGAAACAACTACTCTTGAAAACCAATTTCCCTTTCCTGTGAATTTAAATATTATCCTATGAAGAAATACCTCTCTAGCAGCAAGGATTCAGACTTCAGAGAGGTCACTCAATACATATTTTAATATATATAAATAAATATGAGTTTATACATTAATTGAATATATTATTTAATTCATCTCTAGAAATATAAAATTAATCACCTTCAATCAGATGTAAGAGTTGAGAATTTTTGGTTTAGAACCATAATTCACTTTACATAGCAAAAGTAATTTAAAAAAAAGAAACCCAAATAAAACCTACTAAAATTATCTTGTAACCACATCCAAATATCTTGCTTCAGAAAGACAATCGAAATTCAGAATTCTACCTGTGTACTGCATATATGTGGTTTCACACAGCTTTACTCTTCTTTTATAGATATTTTGCTTTTCCTCTTCTATGCAATATAATGTTGACATGCCACACAGACAAGCAGAACTCTGTAAGGATCTTTTAGCAGTCTATAGCAGATTAAAATACAAAGTAAAGAATCTCATCCAAATGCTGTTCTCAGAACCAAATGCAAATCCTCACCTGTTATGAAAGTGATAAATTTCTTCCATATTCCCAAACAAGATATCTTTCTTATTTTGCAGTTCTGGTGAAATGAGATGAGCCATTAAGGGGTTGTCCATCTCTGCAGCATAACCCTGCAACAGAGGAGAGAGGCACAATTACTGCCTCCCTTTATTGCAGGACTGCTCTCTCTAACAAGGCAGTCAGCCTTCAGGCTGACAGACAGACAGACAAGAAAAAGCTATTAATTAAAAAGTATTAACCATGAAAGAAGAATACAAATTTTGTGTTTTTATCACCCCACTCAGATACACACAGAGTCTTTAGAAAGACACTTGAGTAAATCCAGCGATTCTAGATAAGTGAGGATAAACAAACTTTGCAGCAATTTTCACCAAATAAAGGCCCTACATTCCTATACTGCTTACATATTACAGCTCATACTCTTTTTGCTAGGACTTTGCACATCTGAATTTAGTGCCACAACTACAGTACACACACAAACCTTCATGCTTGCCTTAGCCTTGTTATTTGTAAGGGTAAGAGAAACCATTAAGCTAAAAATTCTGTTTAAGGCGCTTCCATTTGCTTTGGTACCAAAAGGAGTAGCTTTAGATCCCCACATCTTCCACTTGCCATATGAACACACATTCTCTTGTCTGTTTATCTGGCACAGAAAACGACACAAGTGGCTTTAACCCAGGACTGTTCTCCTCTGGCCCTGAGGTCACTAATCTGCGTTCTCTCATAACACTAAAAAACCCTAAACAAACAGAACACTCCCAAGAAATTAACCAGAAAACCAGCAGGAATTATCTAGCACCTGCATTATAAGCAGATTTCTTTGCAAAAATAGATTTCTTAGCATACAGGCATTGAAGGAAGATGATCTTATCCTCTTTAGATTTGGATAAGATTCTCTCTCTTGTGGTTTGTTTGTTTGTTTTAAATTTTTTTTTTAAACACAAGGTGATCCTTGCATTAAGTCACATTGATTATAATAAACCACATCAGATTATAACAAACTAAATAAATAAAAGAAAAGATAAGCAAAAGTGTACCTACAAGTAAGATTTTCAATTTTGACATGTGGTCCAAACTAGAAGAACTAGCAGGTAAAGTCAGCTAACTTGAAGAATTCAAGCATTTGGATAGAACAGAATTTTTTTTTTAAATAACCCAGAACCAGCCCTTTTAAAGTCTGGATATTTTTTCCTCAAACAACACAAAAAAAACCCCAAACCAACAAAAATACAACAAACAAACAAATAAACCCCAGTGGTATAGACAAAGACAATGGAGCTCATAAATAGCTATACATTGGTTCCTTTCTCATATTTCTCCTGCCCCCAAGCAGAAAAAGGCAGAATATGAAAGAGAAAGGGTGGAATAAATAAAGAAAAATTGTACAGCCTTAAAATTTTATAAATAATTTGGAGAAAATTGAGGGTTTTTTTTTTAACAGGAAAAGAACTACTGCAGCCACCCTGCAGTTTAGATGAAGAGCTGCAGAAAGAAATTATTTCCACTGTAAGTCAAGATGATATCGAACATAGCAGCACAGCCAGCACTGGCAAAAGGAGGAGTATCGAATTTAGCTGAGGTGAAAAGTAGCCTGACAGAGTTCATTACTTGCAAATTTTGAAGGAACAAAAGTGAAATACATACATTGACAAAAGGTTTTTGTAATTTTTTTCACTTTAGGCTGATACAATTCTAAAATTTAGTATAAAAACCTTCGTTTTACTACCTATGCAGCATCTGTGTTTTAAGAAAAGAGAGGGAAAGCTACTTAATGCAGCCACAGAGATTACTTAATCTTACTTTAAAAATGCTTAATGCCTTGCTTAGACTTTCATTTGAAAGCTCTTCTAAAACCATCCAAGTAAGTTGAAAAAGGGGTAGAATTCAATACCTAAAAAAAAGACTAGACCAGTATTCTTCTCCCAGTAAAGTTTACTGAATTTCACAGACTAAAGTGGGATGATCATGGTTGTTAATGGAAGAAAAATTACTGATCTTGGATAAGCTGTAGCAGTTTCCAAATAATCAATCTTGGAAAGCTACCTTGCTTTTTTTCTATCGGAATCCTTGGCAGACAGAGAATGCATGGCAAAAAATAGGGCATAATAAGAGTAGACACTATCTCTACAAAGGAGTACCAGGTTAATTTACATGGAAAATTGAAAGATTAATAGAATAGGAGAGACAAAGGGAATGGGAGAATAGCCAGAACTATGGACTAATAACTAGAATTACTCAAAAGCTGGAAGACTGCCACTGAACCCTACCTCAGCAAGTATCCAATGCAGAATTACAGCTGGCACTCCCAATCACCCAATTTCAAGCTAGAGTGACACCAAACTGCAAGGAGGCACAGAGAGCTGTGCCTGGCATGGTCAGAGTACTGGAGTGTTGATCACAGTGGCACAAAACCAAGACACTTGGCCTAGAAAGACAGGAGTTGCACTGCACTCTATGGAAATCAAGAGTAATGGGAATAGGAAAATGCTCCAGTAGCAGCAGTAAGGACCAAAAATCCTCCAACTATTCAAGCCTTGATTGTATGAATACACCTATACAGAGGTATTGCATACAAAAGCAGAAAATAAAGTGATCTCTAAGGCCCACTCCAAACTGACCTGGGTTTATTATCACATATCAGATGTGACCATCCCTCTGTAATCAACACTTCCAGCACTTGGACTGGACACAGGATGTAAATGCTGTGGGAAGCTCAGCACAAACTAGCAAAACCAATCAGAGACCAAAACTCTCATACACTACTCTTACTTGAAGGTATGTAATCAGAAATTACCAGTCCCGGTCCACAACTTTAGACAGTTCTCATTTAGGAGCTTAACATTGATATGGACACAAAGAATATCCACTTGTTTCCACTCTAGTTCAACCTGATCAAATTATTTAGCCATAGTTATCTGCAACTTCATCATTCCCTGCAAATAGCTGAAGACTTAAACTTGAGGACAAAAAAGAATACTGCAGTGTATTTCTAGAAGCAACTCAGCAGTGCTGCAACCATGCCTCCACAAGTGTGGAGCAAAGGGAGCACCTTTGCTTCCTTGATGATTTCAAATGAGGATTTTATTACAAAGCATTCTGTTCCCACAGTTATACCCAAGACACGTGGAAGATCACTTAAAGATATGCAAATAAAGATATAAGAAATAACTTTTCTCCTCTGACACAGGAGTCTCTTGATGCAGATTCACATTCCTGTGTGACACATGACCCTCCTGGAACTGACCCATGACTCTGGAAAGAACTTTTGCAGGAATTAATGATCATTACAAATCTCACTGTGATTCCACCTAAATACTAAGGCACATCTTATTTCCTGCTCAATCTGTGTTTTCTAATACAAAATCCTAGTTGTATGACTATTTCTAGAAAAAAAAATCACATATCGCTGCCTCTGTGAAAATATGATGAGAAAGGAAAAATATAATGACCACAGGGCTTGACAGAACAAACAGAGCCTTTACAGTGGTAAGGAAAACATAAGAACATCCATGAAATGCAATAGATTCACTAACACCCATGGTGAAACTCAGTCTTTACCTCAAGAACACAGAGAAGCTCTTCCACATATGCTCGCTCAGTCTCGATAAGTTCATTCATTACATGTCTGTGGACAAAGAATGATAATTAAGGTGGACCTATTCACTTATGTAAAGTAATGAGGCAACATTAATTTTGTCTGTGTTTCTTCCGTACATCAGACAATAAAAGAACAATTTCCAGGTAATGGAAAATGCGATGTTCCATGGATATTCCTGTAACTACTTTATATATCCTTATTGAGAGATATGTATTTTTAAAACATTTTAAATTTTTTGAAAATGTGTTTGAACAGGAAAACATAAAATCTAGCAGTTTCAGTGCTGCAGCAGTAGAGTGTTTTATCATTGTATGTACAAAGTCTGGTTATACTGTGTTTACAACTACTACAAGAGTTAGAGTTGGAGCTACATAGGATTCTCAAATACAGACTCAAAGCTACACTGGTATTTTTAAATTAGAGGCATTTAGGGCACACTTTAAATATCTCAATGATGCTTTAACTATAATTTCCATAATGATCAAGCATTGAATCATACTTCCCCCCCCAACTTATTTCCTTGTGATTTTCTGTGATGTAACAGAAGGCCCTAACAGTAGAAAGCCCATGTAAGTAGCCAGTTTACAAGTAAAAATGCAAGGTCTGCATATGCATTGCAGGTAGTACCAAGTAATTTCTTTAACATATGTTATGCTGTTCAGTTTTTATACAAGTGATTTTTTGGTAACATAGAACAGGGACTAAAAGGAGTCCAAGAAAAAGACAAAGTCTCAAAGCATGGAGACCAAAACCTTCAGTAGATTTACAGGGGGTTTATTACTTCTGTATCTGTATCTGTCTGAAATGAAAATATGTAGTTGGGCTGCCATAGCATCACCTCACTGCAGCAAGAGTAGACTCTGGTACTACCCAAACTCTAAATAATGCTGCAGACAGACTGAAATGTCTTCCTCTGTGCACAGAGCATAGCCAATGCATTTCAAAAAGCACTGAGGGTTATTTCAGAGAAATATACTTGTTTTATCAAATCCTTAGCCAAACTCAGGCTTTGTTGGAACCAAATCAGAGAAAACTCACACTTTTTGTTTATCAAAACATACTTACTGTCGTAACACAGCCAGGTTTTCTTCATCATCCATTGTAGATCCTCCTCTGCTTTGATGGAGTTCAGTCACATCACTCTAAAGAAGGAAACAAACAATGAAAAAAATAATCATGGCACCACAGATGTGGAAAAAAACCTTCAAAATACAGAGCTTTGTTCTCACCACTTTTCACTGGAAAGACTGTACTCCACTAAAAATGAAGGTTGAGAAAAAAATTCAAGTCACCCTGAAGGTCTAGAAGCACACAACATTTGGATGTGGAAAGTTCTCCATCAAAAGTCAGTTTAGAAAACCAGTTTGAAGCCACCAGTTTGGCGGTTCAAAGCCCCTTTTCAAGAAGACATCAGAGCACCAGCATAATCTCGTAGGCAACACTTGCCTTAGTCTGCTTTCCAAGCTAAACACAAGGTACCGTGGTAACTTTCTGCTTACTTCTTAACCTGACATGGAAATTCACTCTTAAAACTTTTACTGCAATGCCTAAACCTAACTAGGGCTTGCTGAAAAAAGGGATTAAGCTTTCAAGCCCTCCTTAAACTACCCCTTTTCTCTCCAAATGTTGTCCATCCTGGTGAAGTGGTCCTGCCTTCCTCCTTGCATTGTCTTTTGCTGGACCTTTGCTGAGTTGATTCAACTCTCTAACACAGTGAGAAACTACTTGTTTCTGTTGCTGCTGTCAGGATACTTCCCTTGCTGCAGGCAGGGCAGGATTCCCATCCCCACGTGGGAATGGCAATCCTCTAGGTGAGGTGAAGCTGTCCTGGAGCCAATGACAACTGCTTCTTCACTGTCAATGGTTTTAAGAGTAGCCAATTACTACTGGCAAATAAAAAATGTTTCCTGTTCATAGACTTAATATTTTGCTGCCCCTAAGATTTTTCCTAATACTGGCAACTCTTTACTTTACCCTCCCTCATAACCAGCCCAGCAACAAAGCAGCCCCTATTTAAACCACACAACTGTTTCACCAGTGTTACTTCAACTGGGACGATGCCATCACTTTTTCAGTAGAATTCCCTCACACTTACTATGAGTTCCTGAGTGTTCTGTTGTGCTATGACATTTTCAAGTAGTGCACGTGTGAAAAACGTGAAGTGAAAGAAATACCTTTGCTTTTCTGTAGTTTACCCTGCGAAGCGCGCTGCTTTCTGAGTTGGACACGTTTTCTCTTTGAAGACCTAAACAAGTAAACCAGAATGGAACACAAGTTAGACCTGGATCAGATCTGACACAGATGTTCATGCAACCACAAATTATGGCTGAAAGCTTCTTGAAGTTTCTCAGCACAGCACGAAAAACTAAAGGCTAATCCAGTAATACCTGGGGAGGTACAAGGAGATTTTACAAATGCTTCAGGCCTTGGAGCAACTGGCTGAACAGGACGTGTCTGCTTAGCTGCCAGCTTCTTAAGACTTACTTGCCGCTTTTGAAACATTTCTTCCATACTTTCTTGCTTCTGGAAAACCTTTTGCACATGATCCTATGGTTGCCATGGAAATAAAAACCAACTTAATTAATGAAATAATTTAAATAATTTATTATACGTTTAAAATTCCTGTGAGAGTCCTATTAACAAGTTACACTGACATCTACAGCATATTGATTTGAAATTGCAATTAATTTTACACCACATATAGAAATATCACACTAACTCTTCACTCTTAAAAAGGTGTAATTTACTGTGATTTTAGTACACTTAAAATTGGAACATCACTTCAAAAATGTTTTGTGCACTTATTATAGAAAAATCTGGAATTCAAGTTTCAATTAAAAAAAAATATTTTTTTGAGTGTCTAAAGGTTCTGTTACATGAAGAGATCCATGAAGAAAAGGAATATAGTCTCAAGTTCCAAAAAATATTTTTAAAAAGTAGCATTTTTTGCTACGTAAAAATAAAAGGTATTTCAAATACTCGCTTGGGAGAATTTTTTTTAAAAAGCAATTTTACTGTCTGAAAAATTTAAGTAGTTATGAAAAGTCTCTGAAGCCTTTGATGCTTATCCAAAGATATGATGAGACTCAGGCACAGAAATGTATTGGCTTTCCAGTTCACAGATATAACTCCTAGTACTGATTATTTTGCTTTATGAATGGCAGTACAAGAGAGCAATTCTAAAATGAACAAACGAACACACAGATACACATAAACATGGTCTGGTACCTTTAGGTCTTCATTGAGGATGTGTGCATATTCTCTGTAAATTTTATTCAACTCCTTGATTTTATTGCCAGCACCAGTATCCAGGAATTTCTCGATCTCCTGTAATGCTGATTCTGCACCATCCTGAGACTGACACTTATCTACTGGCTGGGAAGCCAGCAGGTAAATTCCTTCATCACACCACTTCATAGACTAGAAACAGATAAGAACAGGCTCAGAATGCACCAATGTCAGCATCACACACTAAGAGTCTAAAACACCTCAACCTTGTCATGTATTCAGCTATTTAAAGAGAAAACTTCCAGCACATTGAGATAATGTTACCTACCATTATGACAATTGTTCAATGAAGGTTTTGAGAAACAACTGTTGCATACTGAATTTACCTTCTCTAGTAAGTCATGAAGTTCCAGAGATTTGTTAAGAAGATTTCTCCTCCGTTCTGTCTCAGTAGTGAAGGCATCACAGAGATGATGAAGCTCACTGCATTTTGGAATAATGGAGTCCACAGCATAATGATTGCTTTGAATAAATGCATCACGCTCTGAGGCTAACATTCTGGCTTTTGCTACAGTTTCCTGAAAAAACAAGCACTGATTAAAGAATATCTTTCCTTGGATCAAGATCAATGAAAAAAAAATTTTAATCGTTTTTATGCAGTGAAATACACATATTGATAAAGAATACATCTATAGTTAATATCTGCCTTGCGTAATAAATCACAGTGATTTCCTGTCTTTCCAGATGCCCAAGAACTTTAATGTACCAGAGTACCTCAGAAACAACAGTGAGTTTAATCACAGGCCTCCTTGTGAAGGAACCACTGCTGTCTTTCTATGCCTTATTCAGCAGGGTCTGTGTATGAGTGCAATTTGGGGTACAGCAACAACCTGAACTCAAATTAAAAAATACCTATCTCAGCCTTAAGAGCAACGACCTGACTTAGAGAGCAATTGTTTCATTGTGAAGCACAGATCAGAAAAAGTTTCCCTTTCTATATTGTTCAGTGTATGTTTCTGTTGGCCATCTTTATTGTACATTCAATACACAGCTTTTTGATTTCTAAAATTTATTGAAAGACATGGCTTTAATGGAACGGAATGTAAGTGGCCCCTCGATCAGTAAATGCAAAGCTTGGCTATGTAGACACTTCATGCAATTCTTACATGAAGCAATCACACTTTGTGTCAGGTTACTCTGCTCTCTACTGAGGGTTGGCCAAGAATTACTCTGCTCCAATGGTTAAAGTCTTTATTTCAGATTCCTTCTGGACATTACCTGAGACACCAATTCTGCCTTGCTGTCAGCTTAAGTTGACACACTCAACAACCAAATCCCATTCCCCTCTGCATGTGCATTATCATGGGAGAAATTAAGGAGACTGGCAGAATTCTTACATGTGATTTTTCTTCAAAGTTGGCAAGATCTTTCAAAATATGCTCCACATGTGAACGGCTGTTTCCCACATCTGTGAAGGCAGATAGTCTCTCAGACACAATATCCAAAGCTGCTTTGACCTGAAATGAGACACAGCCATATATGAATGAAGACAGCTCCACCTCTCCAGAGAGCCACCAATTAAATAGCTGATAGCCACTATCTAAAGTCAGTTGATTCACATTATGTAGTTACTGGGGCACAGAGACAAAGCACCTTTTTTTTCAGCCTACCTTTCCCCCCCAGTTCAAAAGGAAAACAAATACAAAGAAAAGGCAGTGAGGTGATTCTGTTTCCTGGTACTGAAAAAGATGCAAAAAAACTAATGCTAAGGAAACATTTATGATCTTGCTTTTACCAGATGACAAGGACACAAAGCAACATTCATGTTAACAGCAAAACATAAGGGAGATGTCCCCACTCTAGCAATGGTTTTAGAGACAGACAAATGCTTGCAAGAGGGTTTCTGAGTGTTGCTCTCATGGAGACGCAGGGACTGTGCTCCAAGATCAGCTACACCAGGATAAAGCATCTGTAGGTGCCATCAAGCACATGAGTTGAACAACATGAGATCAGAAACTGGCTGTGAAAATTGTAGTTCAGCCTCCACCCAGCTTCTAACACTATGGTTGCAACTTCCCACCCACAGTGTTGGAAACAGTTTTCATAAAATTTCAGCCAGAGTGTTTAGTTGAGACTTAGTTCCATAAAAGGACCTCTTGGCAAGATGGAAGTGTTGTAGCAATATTTTATGTTTCTGCGGTACAGAACAGGTTTCAAAGGAGTTTTTGAATGCTTATACACTGCTGGGTGCATGAAAAAAAAATCCTAAGACTGCAGAAAAAAAAGAAATGTTATGTCTCTATAGGCAAGAATTCAAACTAGTAAAGATAGCAGTGTGTCAAGTAAGGGCAAGTACAAGAAAAAGGTTCAAGAAAGCTTTCAAGTACACACAAGAACTGTAAAATCAAGAGCAGGAAGCATTTTCTGAATAATTTCTAGATTACCAAATATTGACTGCCACCAAGAAGCTCTCACCTCTCTGAAATCCTGTTCAAAATTCCGAAGGCGCAGACACTGCTCTAGTTTTTGCTGATGCTTAATCCAAAACTCATCAAAGGCAGTCTCTGTTTCATGTAGTTGAGCCAGTAGCCTTTAAAAATCAAAACAGAACACATAAAAATACTGTAAGAATGATGGGTGCAACACAGTAAATAAAAAGCCTCCCCAAAGCAGTATTTTTCAGGACAAATAAACTGGATATAGGAAACATTTTTTGTATTGTTATCATTTACTACAACAACACTGATGTAAAAACTGAAACTCAACACAAACATTAACTTCTGAAAAATGGGCAAGTGCTTATTTTAAGCACCTTCTCAGCTTTGGCATGGAGACATGGGGAGCTGGGGCTTAGGCTATCAGGAAAACTTAAGACAAAAATTTGTGCTGCTGTGACCAGCCAACTGCCCTTACATTTCATTCTTTGGAGAAAAGCTCACTATAAACCTGAAGTCCATTGCTTCTTCTCTTCCAAGCAAAGTTATTAATTAAATATCACAGGCAAGTATATAACTGTACTGTGATGAAGAAAACTTTCTTTTTTATTATAATTATAATAATTATAATTATAATAATAATTATAATTCTGGCAAATTACTTAAAATTTTCATTTCTTAACTTACCTTCTCTTATTGCATTTGACAGTATGATATCCCATGGACTTTATACAGTGCACTTTGATGCAGTTAGGCTACATCCAGGGAAAGCTACACATCAGAACTTTAATGAACTTTTGTCTTTAACAGTACAGAAACAAACTTTGAATATACAAGTTAAAACCAACTACAGAAAATGCAGTGACACACGCACACACTTTGTTCCAACTTCCTTCAGATATTGTATTGAATAGGAATGTTATGGATAAATTAGCAACCCCCACCCTGATCGTCCTTGGATAGCTGATAGCAACAGTGACCAAAAAAAGTGACTTCTGCCAAGCTTTGTGGATTGGAATGGACAGTTACTTGGAAAGAGAGTCGGCCTGAGTGTAACAGAAACACAGAATGACAGACAAAAAAAGAATGCAGAATACTGCCTGGGGGAAATGAGCTATGCTTTCATAGCTTTATGAAAATTTACATCTGTGCTACAGTGATATAATGTCTTCAAACCTGCAGTAATGTGAGGGGGGGTGTGCATGTGGCAGGCAGGGAGCAAAGAAAACAATACCTAGTACTTATATGCCCAAAGGAAGCACATAGGAAATTGGTGATTAGGTACTTCAAGAGTGGTGTACTCCCTAGTAGCCCTTTAAAGGCTACTAACAACATTGATAAGTTGTCAGATTTAAAATAAAAAACCCCTCCCACTTCAAAGGGACCTAATGGAAATGGACAAATCTACTGAAAAGAAGGGACAGACCACTTCAGTCTTCCCCTCATGCCTTCTGTACAGCAGCAACATTTCTGGATTGCACTTTAGTTTCTAAACAAAGCCTTGATATTCTCTGAAATAAGGAAAAAATACTCAAGTGTATAGCCCAAATGTGACAAAAATTAAAAGAAGAACAGTGTTGTGTGGTATCAGAATTCCAACCCCATTTCCCTATAGCCAGGTGACCTTGCAGTGGGCATTAGGGGGTTACTTTGCTCAGGACAGATCTGACAACAGAGGAGTTGTTTCTGAAATGTTTTATAATGTTCACATGGCAACATTTACTTATTTGCAAAGCATAAATATGGAATTAAATAACGGAGCTGGGGAGGGGTCTAAGAAACAGAAAAGCAGCATGTTTAGTATTTCACACCTCTCACCTTTCTACCGTTGTTTGATTGTCTAGCTGATCTTGATTCAGTTTGTATTCAGGATTCTCAGTAACTGGTTTTGTAATACTTCCAAGGATATCATCTCCTTGTTCTACTGCTACCCTGATATCTTCCTACAAAACAAAACAAAAACCCACATGCTGAAGCAGTGTGTTGTTTTTTTAAGCAGAATTCACAGGGCACTGAATTGAAAGAATGATTTCAATAGCATTTTTGAGCAAGCATAGTTTTATTAAAAACAGTGGCTGACAGATAGTAAATTATAAATGTCAGCTTCTTCCATCTTTGCCATCTTAAGACTTCAGTGTAACTGAGTTGAATTTTCATGGTAGACAGTCTTCTAGTGTAGCTTTAGGCTACAAATATCTCAAAAATTTTAGATGCACAGTTCTGAAACTGCCAAATAGCTTTCATTTAATCCTTTTGAAAGAACATTTGTTCATGCTTCAAAAGGCCATATATTTTAATATGCATGCAAATACAATCAAATTTCCTGTTGCAAACAAAACTACAAATTAAACACACCACTACTTACAAAGAAATTACTGTTTCACATACAATCCCTTATACATTTGTACACACATAAACTGAGTTTCAAGAAATGTCATTTTTCAATGCAAAAAGGATTTTTGACATAAAAAAAACAAGTTCAAAAAGATATTGATAGTTCGCATTATTACTCTCTATTAACATCATCCATATTTTCCATTAATATTGCTAGCTATAGATTAAAAGATAGTTTAACTAGAAGCCAGCATCTCTACAAAAAATTACGTACCTTCATTTTGTCCTTCTTTTCTGTGTGTGTTGCAAGAAGAGAGCTGGTTGATTGCACATCATTTGGTAGTTCTGTTTCAGCCAGCTCAGTCCCAAAGGACTGAAGAATCTGAGCTGTTTGCTTAACCTTTTGGGCGAAACCTTCTATAGCCTTTTGGAATAAAAAGCATTAAAGATGTTTCGTGTTCATCACACACATACGTACAAACAAACACAAGCATACAAAATATAATTCTCAAAACAAACCCAAACAGATGAATTACAAGACTGAAAAATGGCCAAAGTAGAATTTTGCAAGCAACAGATACCGTCACCATTAATTCCTTAATTGTATATTTTTCTTAGGCTTGTATCAGGTGTATCTTCTTCATATTTTATAATCTGGAGTTATTTTACAAGTTGAGATTTTTCTTTCTTGTAGCAAAACCAATAAACCTCAACACAATAACACACTGTAGCTCCTTCCCTCCAAGTGTTCAGAAAGCCACTCCCAAGTTATTACTCATATTATTTCTCTAAGATGACTAAGTACCATTGGGAACATCTTCTCACACTGAGCAAGTCAACTTGCATCACTTGGAATCTGTTTTATAAATGACAGGGTATAAAACAGAAGGGTTCATTAAACTGAGAAGTTAAAACAAAACCTAAGACTTACAGTGCGACGGGACAGCCATCTGTTGTGGCAGTAATCCAGGGTGCCACCAAGATCTTCTGTTAATTGTGTCTTATCAATGTAACCCTGCAGTTCTGATACTGAGCCCAGCATTATGATCTGCAGCAGGACAGAAAAAAAAGTGAACGTGGTCAGTGGTGACAAGTCCCTTGTTGAGGATTCCAAGCCCCATCCTTCAGACACGGACAGAGAAGATGCACTTTAATAGAAAAGTGAGAGATGGAACTGTTTCCTATGGGTATAGAAAAACAAACTTAGCAGTTCTTCCAGTTGAAGATGACGTAAATATAAATGACTGAATATGAGCATGGGCACCAGGCATATTAAAAAAAAAAAGCTTATGGATCATACACCATAACACTGCCAGATTTTTTTATCTTGATAAACCATACATGGCTATTTTCTAAAAGTAACATTGAGTTCTTGTTTATTTTTCCTTGTTATCCTGCGTCTGCAGGACAGAACAATAGTGTCTACATGGATTTGTCGTGTAAGGACTGGTTCCCCAAAATAAATTAAAGATGGGGGAAAATTTTCATAAAGACCCCCTTGAAATTTACATCTGATAAGTACAGTAACTTTTATATCACCAGCTCATATAGTTTCAAATTTTCTTTTAAAACATAAATGCTGTACATTTGCAAACAAAAGCACAATCTGTGGGTTCACTGGCAATATAACAACAGCCATCCATTGTATGTTTGCTCAAGTGACAGAAACCATAGCGTTTGTCCATGGAAAATGCATCTGCTTCAAAATTCACAGACTCTTTCAAGAAAAAGCCATCAGGAATTAGCTAAAATTGTTAGAGCTGCCTCTAAACATGGCTTTTTGTTGGGGTTTCTTTGGTCCTCACTGGCTACCTTAAGTACTTTTACAGATTCCTGGCAGTAAAGTGAAAACAGAGGATTACTTACAGGTACTTTCATTTTAAGCTCATCTCTGTTGAATCTGAAAGCAATGTCCGAGAGAGCTCGATGAAAAAATCCTGTTGGGCGCAGCACAAGGACTAATTGCAGGTTTCCTGGGAAAGATGCCTGCAAAGCAAGTTTAGCTTGTTATTTTCTGTGTCTCAGCTCCAGAAAATATTTTTGAACAAGGAGAAGCCCCTAATATACCACAAACTAACTGTATCAAAGGCCTCCCATAATGGAGTGACCAATCATATTGTTGCATGGCTAGTACAAAGAGCTTCATTCAAATGACATTTACTTGTCTTTGGGAACAGGGATCTATTCTCTTGGAATCAATTTTTTTTCAGGGCTGGCTTATACTGATCTTCAGCTAAGATTACAACCTACCCAAGGAGGCTAATGAACAAACAGCAGTGGCTTAGTATTTTTTTAACAGCAAGACTTTCATGGTTACTTCATCTTCTCCTTAATATAAGGTGTTAAAGAAACCTCCATTGTTGTGTGAAAACCTAACAACAAATTTCTTATTTGTGCACATACTACCTTGCCTGTGCAAGGTTTTGCCACAGAGAATTAATTTCTCAGGCAGTAACTTAGAAATAAGCTTTAATTTAGCTGACAAAAATAAAAATAAAGCATAAAAATTCTCAGTTCTGTTTTTGCTCATCAACTTCCAACTAGCAATATGATGGATCTGTCCCATTTCTACAACGGATAGGGGGAAAACAGAAGAGAGAAGAAACAAAAAAAATAGCATTAAATTATTAAAAATCAACCTCTGCTGTGGCAGAGATTTGCATATTTGGCATTTAGCCACTCTTGGAAACATTCTCCTCTATTCAGTATTTCCACTGTAAGGAGGCAGCGAAATTCACTAAAGAAATTATCATTATAATGATTAAGTATGCAATTTTTTTCATTATACTGTTGGAAATGATTTCATTTTTCTAGCAAACTGGTTTACCAGAGGGAAGAAAAAAAAGCCAACGAAAAAAACCCCACGGACAGAAGGAGCTGTTATGTTATGCTCTGTTCCAAGCCTACTGGAGCTGTTAGTATCTGTAAGGTTCAAGAGTGATTTAATAATAATTTTGATATTTCTAAGGGTTCCTGGTACTTAGCATTAGAAATGAAGAACTTTTAAAGGGAAAAGTAGTTTAAGACATTTCTTGAAAACTTCACAGATTCATTTTGGTTCCCCAGATATTGAGTATACAACCAAGATATCATTTGGCTAAGGAACCTTAAAGGCTTGAGCTTCTCAATCTGCCTCCACTTCAGCAATGTCCAAATTTTCTAGAAAGTACAGTGGTTCAGTTCCAAAGGAGTCTGAGGGCTGGGAACAGGATCCAGGTAATTCTGAGGGCCCTCACTAGCTCCTCAGCCTTGCAATATAAAATTCACTTTAAAAGTACACTGTTCACTTAAAAGTACAGCCTGTGAAATTACTAACCCACAGTTATCAGAGGGAAAACTTTTCATAGAAATTTTCTGAAGAATATTCAGAAGAAAAAGAAAAGATTATGGTTTTCTTACTGTTTTTTCTGAATTACCACACAAAGCAAACTCATAAATTTATTAAAGAGACATTAAAACAACAGACAAAAAAAATCTTTTATTAAATCTTTAATTAAATCTCCTGGATAAGCCTTTTAGAACAACAGTCGAATTGACTTCTCTCATTCAACAGACATGCCAATTTATTTTGTGCCTGTAACAGCAGTGTTCAGTCCCACTGAGCAGTTACTTTTTACCTTTAACTTCCAAAATGCAAAGCTTTTCAGCGGCAATCCAAATATTTCAGAATAAAACTAATAACAGAGATACCTTTTAGGTAACACATTTTGAAAAAAATAAGGTGCCTCCTTGTGAGACATCCTCCCCACCACATGAAGTCCTGACCCACTAGCAGTGGCAGCCAATATCTGCAACCCATTTAGCCTTGAGCACTGGGAAATGCCCTGGACAGGGTGCCAGGTAACCTCATCAAGGCTCCCTTTCCCTGCATAAGGTTGGGACAGATGGTCTTTCAACATCCCTCCCAACCCAATTTGTGATTTTATAACATTTAGGCCATTACTGATAGCAGTACCCAAATGTAATTTAATAGTAAATTTTTCTGGACTGTATATTAGTTCTTATGAAATAGAGTTTAATTGCATGATGAAATTAAGTATGGTATTCAATTCAATGAAAACAGAGAATACACATTACAATTATTTTCTATCTCGTCAACCCAAAATGATGATGTTGAAGTCAATACAGTCTTGTATCACTTGAATTCCCATTCAAAACCTGTCAGAAATTTCCCTTCTCTCTGAATAAAAGCTCAAATTCTAGATTACTTTGACTTTGTCTACACTATAAACTTGTCCCCACTTGCTTTTTTTTCTTCAAAAAGCCCCATGACTTAAAAAATCATGCCTCTTTCCCTTGTTGTGGCTAATAGTCAAATCTGCAAACTGATTTCTGTGAAACAAGAAAGGGAAGTTGTGCTACAGTAAACAATGTTGGACTTGTGCCAGCTATTGCAGGTTATCAAAGGTTGTATCTGCACTGCCAAAATACTACTATTTTTCCTAACATTTTTTTGCTAAAGCCCTGGTGACTTGCAGAGACAATACTATGATGTAAGTGATACTCTGTAGATGTCTGTGAACTTCATTGACCAGTCAACTTCACCCTGAACACTGGAACAAAACAAAAATTCTCTGTTCTAGTCAGCAGCATATTTGTTTGAAGCCATTGTATGCTAACCAGACAACAAACAATGACTTCTCAATAATGCTTTCCTAAATATTAAGCACCAAAAAATATTCATGTTATGTTTAGTAGTGCTATCATGCTATCAAATAAAGTGCCTTCAAGGACTGTTCACTGAAGTCAATGAACCTTACTCACACTTGCTGAAGGGTTTGCATGTTCAAAAACTGGGTTGGTATTTTTCCCCAAAGTGTCTTTCTTTAGATTAGTTCCCCAACATCTTGTCTCTTGTAGGTCTTGTAAATATTGAATTTATCTGGTTTAATGCCAATGCAAAAGAGGCTAGGGGTCATGTTTTTCATATTTGCTGCAAAAACTAGGAGAGCCCAGCCCATGTATTCATTCACCTCACATGCACTTGTTTGATACTTCATGACAGTCATGGGATTAGTTTTCTATCTGCTCATCTCCTTCACTTTTTCATCCAGTCAGGTCAGTGCCAATTCCAAAGAGAAAAAGATGTAGATGTGCACGTTGTTATCAGCTTTAAATTAAACCTGACCAAACCAGAAAATTGTATACAGCACAGCCCCGGGATCAAAGCATTCCAATACACTGAAATCTTTGTTTCCCTACAAGTATCCTGAACCTAGAATACGGGGAAGAACCTTTTCTGGCTGGACAAAATAAGGAACAATCTTAAATTCTCCTGAAAACCAGTTAATAATTTCTCAGGAGTGGGTTAACCTGCCTGCTTTGAGACATCTGCTTCTCAGAGATGGAGAGCATTTCACTGCATGCCCCAGGTTTCTGGAATGGGGAAGATGTATAGACTGGACCCAGTAGAGTTCTGGGCAAAATGTAAAATCAAATTACCATAGAATCACAGAATGGATTGGAAAGGATCTTAAAGATCACCTAATTCCAACCCCTGCCCCCAGGCACGAACATTTCCCACTAGACCAGGTTGCTCAGGTCCTCATCCAGCCTTGCCTTGAACACTTCCAGAGTTGAGGCATCTACAGCTTCTCTGAGCAACCTGTTCCAGTGCCTCACTAAAACAGTAAGTAAAGAATTTCTTCCTAACATGTAATCTAAGTCTCTCCTCACTCAGTTTTAAACACCTTCCCCTTTTCCTATCCCTATCTGACTGTGTAAAGTCACTCTCCCTCTATTTTATAAGCTCTCTTTAAATAGCTATAGGCTGCAGTGAATTCTGGCCCAGAGCCTTCTCTTCTGAACAACCTCAGTTCTCTCAGCCTGTTCTCACAGGAGAGATGCTCCAGACATCTGATCACCTTTGTGGCCTCCTTTGGACCACATATCAGTTGCATATAATCCTAACTATCGTTTTTCTTCACAGAAATTACTGACAGAGAGGCTGCATGTACCACCAGTACTGATCCTGAAGTTAACCAGCTTGCAGAAATATCATAACCATGTGAGCCATCCAAGAGCTAATGCTTGACTCGGTTTTTGTAGTTCTGTCTCAAACGATTTAATTTTCATTTTATGAACAGCTTCAAAATACCCACATTACCAAACTCTGTGGTGGTGTTTTCCTTTCTGCACTTAGTAGTATGCCATAAGCCACAGAGTGCTTCTTTCCAAAATACTTCTGTTATATAAAGGGCCGAGTAAGTACTTGCTTACCTATTTTTTTAAAGACTGTTTATTCCTGGCTAGAATGAGTAAGTGCCTTACATATAAGTTTTGTCATGAAAGAATCTTGAATTAAATCAGTTCATAAAAAGAACAGCTTGAAATCTAGTTTTAAAAACATAGAACTCTTTTGCATTAGATCTATGTTTAATGCTTGTGACATTATGATCCTGCTTTCTGAGTTTAAGTGACTCATTTCTCTTTTTACACACTAAACAAATACATAAAATAAAGAAAAATGTCTAACTACACAAGGATAACTGCAAAAGTGCCTGCATGTGTAGTAGTCTCAAAACATTCAAAGTAATCAGACAAAGCCATACTGATCTCAAAATAAACTTACTCATTTTATCATTTACTGTACTCATTCATAACAATAGCCACAAAATTAATACAAATACTGTTCCAGCTTCATCATACTGCCAAGTTCTAGTCTTAAATCCAAGCAAAATGAGAAACATGACCAGGGCTGAAAGAAGAGGAGTATTTTTAAACTTAAGCCGTTCAAAATGTGAGGTGTTATTCTACTTTTCAGGACATGATGCAAAGAGTTAACTAGAAACTGGACTAATGGGAAATATCTATCCCATATAAATATAAAATAATGCCTTTCATGGGGTACCACTTATAAAACATATCTATTCTATATCAAGAACTCACTAAGAAACTCAACATCTCTACAAATACGGCCGAAGAATGGGAAGTTGAATTACTGCAATTCAGCATTTCTCACCTTGGATATCAAACCAGTAAGATTCCAGATGGCACAAAAATGGGACTGCCTGACTCCTACAAGGTTTAGGCTGGCATTACAAAATCAAAGGATCAATTAGATTGGAAAAGACCTCCACTATCATCAGTCCAACCTAAGCACTCTGCGTGCTGTGTCCCTTGGCTTCTGGTTTCTTCCTGCCAGGCAGTGGTCTTGGTCCTGATCTTCAAAGAAACTAATGGGCTAAGCTGCTGTTACAGTGAAGACTACATTTTGATGTATGAACAGCTAAGAAAAGCAGTGCTCTGGACAAGGCAGTCCAAAACAGAAGGCATGAAATGTGCATGCCATGCATCCTTAGTTAGTGGTGGCAAATCACAAAGCAAACTTCTTCTCCAGGAGGCTGAATAAACCCCATTGACTCTTGACACATTTAAAAAGGGCTGCAAAGTTTTGTAACTGGATAAAGATTCTTCACTACCACCCCCAAATAACTTCCATCCTAACTGCTTACTCAAGAGCAGTGGCCCACAGTTGTTATTCCCTACACACCAAGGAAGTTTATTTTCCCTGCACCTTCAATATGAGGTTGATGAATGGCTATGGTAAAACTTTTAATGATGTTGAGTGCAGCTTTTTGTTTGTCTAAAAGAGTGAGTTCACACTGCAAGCTGCTTTCCCTCTAGATGAAGGAAGACAATGATGCCAGGACAACAAGAGAGTAATGCAATGTAATATAGACTTAATTTTCTAAAGAAAATATACTGGAACTGTGAAAAGATACATGGATCAGTAAAAAGCCTTGCTCCTACAACTGTAGACTGAATATTGCTTGTTTGGGTATGATAACATCAGGAGAGAAAAGAAAAAAAAAAAGGAAAAAAGAGCCATTTTTGACTGAATGGAAAGGACAAGTGGATCAATTTGTCTCTATTTGTCATTCACCCAGCTTCAGCTGGGACAATACAGAGCTGCTTTACCAGGCAACATGACTGCTCCTCCTAGCATACTTATCCATGAGACTATGCAATTGTCCAGCCCCAAGAGCTAAAAGGTTCAGCAAGGTCTTGCATGTCTCTTTATACTCTGAATAATGTGTTTAACTGAAAATAGGACATTCTAATACAAATTTAGAAGAATTGCTGCAGGTGACAGGGCAAACAATTGAAAAAAATTTTGTATCCTCAAACAAAAATGTAATACAAGTGAACAATTTGCAATTACTAACTCCAGTATTTTTCTTGTAAGAACTTTCAAATTCTACTGTCTCTCTAACAACATGATAATTTGCTATCAAGACTCCACACTTAACATGAAACTTGGCTCTTGGAATCTCTATCAGAACTTCACTTCTCAGCCTGACTATCCCAGTAGACCAGATTCTTCCTAGTCTAATAACTTCCCTTCAGCTAAATCAGGTGAAAAATAAAAAGAATAATGTTGTTTGCAGTGTCTCTTACACCACAGAGTCTGCAAGTCTCATGCCTGCTAACAGCAACATCCTGGGCTGCCTGCCCATTGCAACTTCATCAAGTAGAATAAAACAATAGCAAAGTCTGCATGCTGGGCATGTTCTTGCCACAATCTCTGTCACATCCCAGGAAAAGAAGGGCCATATTTCAGCCCAGGCCTCTGGCTTTGCTCTCAGTCCCAGTGCACTGCCTGTGCAGCAGCAGCAGTCATCCTGGGCGAGTGGTGCAGTCACTGACCTCCACTATGTCTGCAAAAATAAATTAACCTGATCTCCAGAGTCTTGACTACAACAACCCTTAAGTTGCTGCACGAAATATTTCGCTCATCATTGCCCATTTTCTGCCCCAGGAAAAAAAAGAACCCCTAACAACAAAGAAGGAAAAATGAAGCTAAGAAATATTTAATAATATTTTTTCAACAATAATTTCAGCCTGAAACAAACAATTTTGCTAGCTTTGCTTCAAAACGTACTTCCAATACCCACTAGTACAAACCGAATGTGTATGAAGAGTCTTGAAAATTACAAGAAATAATAATAACAAATACATGCTAGCATTAATTTCTGTTTAACAGCTGCTCATGCTTACAAATACATGTCCTGCAGTTGCCAGGGTATTAGTGATGGGCAGATGCTCCAGGCAGGATATTTCTGTTGGGCAGTGCTCCAGCCACAGCACCCTATGCTGGCATTTCTGATTTCACAAATCAAGGTCAGCTCCCTCAGGATGATTAGAGAAAAATCAGGAAAAATGGCAGAAATGACAACAAATAAACCAATATCCAAAACTCGCTTCTCAAATAACATGAGACTCCTATCCTCACGCACTGCAATAAGCTTTAGCAAAAAAAAAAAAAAAAAAAAAAAAAGGAATGAACAGGTTTTTTTTACAACAGCAGGAGGTACAAGGGTAAGAGGATAGGACAGGACAAGGGGGAATGGCTTCAAATTGAAAGGAGATAGGTTTAGATGGGACATTAGGAAGAAATTCTTTACTGTGGGGGAGGTGAGGCACTAGAACAGGTTACTCGGAGAAGCTGGGAATTTCCTGTCCCAGGAAGTATTCATGGCCAGGCTTGGGTGGGATTTTGAGCCACCTTGTCTAGTGAAAGGTGTCCCTGCCCATGGCAGGGGGGTTAGAACTAGATGATCTTTAAGGTCCCTTCCAATCCAAACCATTCCGTGATTCTGTGATTGAAACTGCCAGATCTATCAGGCTTTCAGACATCATCTACAGTCTGGATAGCCCAAATAACACTCAGATGCTTCACTAACCACAAAAAAACCAATTCTGACTGTTAGGAAAACCAAACAAGTGGAAGTCTCCAGTTATCCCTGAGCCATTCAAAAGAAATCTTTGTCTATCAACAGGACCCCACTAATTTGGCACAATATACATATCTTGTATGTTTGGCTTGTTTTTTTGTTAAACAACAGACAGCTAAAATGCATTAGATTCATTTACATCAAATACTATAGCAAAGATATGATGGACAAGAGCAAACAATTTTTCACTACATCTTCTTTTGGAATAGGAACACAAAATTTTCAGGTGTTCAGGGCTGATGTGACTATTGCTGGAGCCCAGCAGGAGCACTGCTATAAACATATATACATGGGTACAATTCAAATCCAACACTGCTGCTGTTCAACAAGAGAAAAAAATAAAAATCATGCCTTTAACAGATTAGACTTCAGCTAAGAAGCATGATTCTTCTTTCAGAAAAAGAATGAGAAAAGCTGAAAAAAGCAAAATAACCCATCAGCAGCAGTACTGCAAGTGTTCAGTGCTCCTGCGCTAAACACTCTTCTCTGGGCAAATCCCTTAGGCACCAACACCATCATGACAGTGACAGATCCCATAAAATGGGGAGCAGTGGCTCAGTTCTGTTCTCTGTGCTTCAAAGCAAAGTCACACACACTGGAAGAACGTTACCATAAATGTTATCATCATGGCTATAAGAAACGTGTCTGTAGTTGCTAGCCCTTACAACCCCAATTATGCAAATAAAAGGACCATAATCTGTGCAACACTTCTCTGTCCTTGAACAGAAACTACAGCACTGGCTTTTGAAAGAGATCCCAAATCTCCAGATAGAGTATTTTTTCTTCAATCACCTTAATTATGCTGCTCTCAGTTTTCACTAATGGAATCTGCTCAATGCTGCATCTCAAAATTTCAAGATGAGCTGCAAAAGTAAATTTTGCTCGTACTCTAATGTATTTTGCATGTCTTAACATTCTCACCATAATTATTGTGTAAAAAGTTGTATTGTGGGAATATTATATCATTATATATTCATTCACAAAACATATAGTGGGACTAATATACTACCTTTAAAGATCTATTACTTTAAAGTAATGAACTACCTTTAACTTATAATAAACAAAAAATTCTTTAGCCTTAATCAGGCCACATTAAAATGACATTTGCTGTTTTGATTTGACTTTTACCTTACAGAGTCAAAAGTTTTCAGCCATTAAAAATTAAAAGATACTTACAGCTTTGTTTTTCAGCCCTCACTGGAAAGACTACTGACATTAACAATTCAAGCAAGGATAACTAGGAAGAAAAAAAAGCAAGCAACCAACCAACTAAAAAAACCCATGTAAACCAGTAGTAGAATAAGCACATGATAAACATGAAACTGTCCTTCAAAATAAAAGGAAAAAGCCTCTAATAAACTTATTTTTCTGATTTTAAAAATATTAATTGAAAGGGAGATTGGGAAAGTTAAAAGCATGTGCTGTTGATTCATCACAGAAGGTACATAAGATTTTCTTGCTTACATGTAATTCTTGTTTTAAATCAGACATCACAAGACCAGCTTTTCTATGTGAACTCCTTCCACAAGTGGTAAACTCAACCAGCAGGACCCTCACCTTCATTTTTTTGTAAAAGGGAAGCTCACTTGAATAGTGAAAAGTGGACCCATGGGATGTCCATGCAAATATGAGCTCCCACATGGGAGGGCTGCATGCTCACACAGCCACATACACATACACACACACACACACACACACACACACACCCCCTCTCTCTCCAAGTGCACACTTAGGAACATGTCCTGAGCTGCAGACTGCATTAAAACCACATCACAGACACAAGATGCTCTGTCTGGGAGACAAAACACCTACTGGATACCTTCTGTATCATCTATTAGCTGACATATTGCAGAAGAGAAAAGGAATTATGTTTTTCCACCTGTAAGAGGAAGATTCAACGCAGAAAAATCTTTTTAAGGAGTAATTTGAGACAGTACTCACTGCTATCCGCAGTATGGAAGCTTTCACGGAGGTCCATTTGTCCTGTCTGCGATCTATGACAAGAATAAATCCAATGCCAGCATCTCGTAAACTAAGTTTGGAGGAGGAAAGAAGAAAACATGTAAGTTTAGGTAAAAATACAAATGTAACTCCTGGTTCCCTCAGACAGAAAAGCAGTTAAAAATAGTAAAAAAAAAAAAGAAAAAAGAAAAAGTAGCTTGACCTTTTTGTGCAGAATTTTCTTCATAAAAATATCTATTTAAGATACACTATACACCATTACAAAGATGCAGCAGTCCCACAGTGTTTCACAGTTTCAAAATGTATTCAAACAATGAATTCTTCTTTTTCACAAAAGATAGTATTTACATTTCTTGCATAGGAATTATTTCAGAAGAAAATAAGACCAATTGATTCTCCACTGTTTGGTGCTGATATAATGCCTTCCTCATGATGTTGTCAGTATAACTGCAGGATCAAAATAAAGTTGTTTTCCTTTTGCATCTGCTTTAAACCTTCTGTTTGTCTTCCTTCTCACTGACACTTAAAACCCCTTAAAAACACAGATCCTTCTGCTCATTCCATGATATTGCTCCACGCATCTGAAATTGTCATATGCCTCCAGGTTGTAAACTTCTTCCTAGGTGCATTTTCACATTCACTGAAACATAAAACCTTACGGCATTTAAACTCTTCAAACCAGAGAGAACAACAAGCAGAGGCACTTCTCTGGAATGGAAACATCTGTGAGAGAGATTCTGCTCAAATCCTGGCGTACGGGTGACCTTTCTCTTTTGCCTGTGCTCAGCTGCATGTGCTACCGAGCCCTGACCAAGGGATGTGCTCCTGTTTTGTAATTCCCCATCTAAGCCAATTGTGCAATGCCAGCAGCAGCCCTTGCCAGCCAATCGCAATCAAAATGGAAACAGCAGGCAAACACAAGGCAGACAGGCTCAGATTTATTGTTTTCTCATACATTTGCTCCTTTTTCAGTATATGTGCCGTATTTTTATGTCTGATAATTTATTGCAAGGCCTGCCGTGGCACTGTAAGATCTTTAAAAATACTGTGCATCAATTTGCTATGGTAATATCTTAAAAGAAAAAATAAAAAATCAACACAACAGAATGCCAGGATTCTTTATTCAATATTGCTGAATCATGGAAACACCAGCTTTTCTTTACAAGATTATGTCAGTAGCATAATGGTAAGAGGATGTTTAGGAGGATGAAGAACACAGGTACCCAGATGTGTCACCTTAAGCTACTCTTCAAAATCACAAATTTAAACAGGACCCACAGTTTATTCCCTCTCTTTTACAAAATGCAGTATCTCTCAAATTTACAGACATACTGTTTAGTGGGAAACATGAACAATCATTATAATTGCGAAGGAACCCTTGCTTTCTTTCAGAAGCAGCTAAGCAGTCCTTTAAGCACAGCAGAATATTAGAAGTGATCCTCTCACTGCCCACATTCAGTGCACGTTACTTAACTCTTGCCTCTGGGTTAGGACAACACTGATAAACAACATCTGAGCACTTGCCTTGTAAGCCTGACAACCCTTGCAGACAAGCAGGGCTTTATATTAGCAAAATGCTTCCCACTACAGTAAATTTCCATGATTTACTAAAGTTTCTCCTCTTCTTTTTCTTTACTTAAAGGGCAAGAGGAGGAGTGAGATCCAGACTGATTTTAGCCTCTTCCTGTTCCCCGTTTAAAGTTTTCACAATTTTAACCTTTAGTGACTGAGCAAAATAAAATTATAATAGCAACCACGTACCACAATAATCAGATGGCGAAACAAACTCTTTTGGTACACAGTCCTAATTTGGATGAATGAAGTCAAAAAGGTGCTACATCTGTCCCCACAGGGGTCAGTGTGGATTTTGGAGCACATTAAGACTCGTAAAGAGCTATTTTCTCTGCTCAGTAGAAGTTCCCAGGATTCCTGAAATCCCTCCATACTTCCTCAGAGGAAGCATAATCAGAGTACCTAAATGCAACATCTGTATAATATTTCAAGAAACTATTTATATTTCAGTGCAGTATGAATAAAATTAAAGTCTCTGAAATAGCATCAATAGGATTTCTCTCTAGGAGCACACGAAAATACAGGCTCAGCTGGGATCCCAGAAATTATCTATGGCAGCTCCATACAGTTAATCACCTGCCTCAACACCTGACAATAAGCAGAGCTTAATATCATTATCCTAGAAAAATAAAAAGACAAGGCTTACTTAAGTGGAAGAATTAACAAAGAAAAGCACATCTCTAAGATAGCCCAAAAGATGTCTTCAGCCAACCTTCTTTTTCCACTGGATCAAATAGAAGGATAAAATATGTTGTATGCTTGCATGAATCAGCAAGCTCAGACATAAAAGTCAGGATTCCCCACTGCTGCCTAGAAGAGACACGGTGGCAAAGTCTTGAGCATCTGACTCCAAACTGTTAACACTCCATTAATATAGACTGGTTGGAAAAAAAAAAATTAAATGCCCTGTTCCAAACCAATCAGGGTGGGAAAAGTATTTGTTATCTTGACAACACTGCCTTGTTGCAAAGGCCTGGCTCTGGAGTCTGGGATCCAGCTCCAGCAAATCACAAGCAGGAAGCAACAAACCAAACTAAGACATTGTGTACAACAAAGTTGAGAACATTACAAAGAGAACAAAGTCATGTATTCAAGAAAAATAAATATTGAAAACAGGTCTGTTTGCCAATGTACCCTTGCTCTACTGACCTCTCTTTGCTGCCAGACACGCACTTGCATATGGGGTTGCAAGACACCTTGCAATACCCTCCTCTCTTCTAGGGCATAGGATGAACAGTGCTTTGGAAACAAGCACATGCTCAATTTTCCTTTGGATCCTGATTTAACTGTGAGTGCCAGCTGTCCCTCTTTCCCTCAGCCATATCTATAACATTTTATGCTGATACTGGGTTTCCCCTACCCCTCCATGTGCTTGAGAGGAATGTATTTTGTTTTGTGCTGGGTCTCAGCAGATCATGCTCTGACGGGCACAGGTCATCAAAAGCTCATCAAGCATTTTCCTCCTGCCTTGTCCAGCTGCATTGTACTCATCAGCTTAGCTCACATCTTCTCATGCCTCTGCATCACTCCCCAATAAACTCATCTCTACCACCGACATTTGCCTCTCCCATTCATCAGTCCTTGTCCCAAGAACAGTTCAAAAAGCTTTTTTTCTTTTTCTTTTTTAATTTTAGACTGTCAGGATGAATGACATCAGTTCTCACCCCTTCCTGAATACCCAGTCCCTTCATCCTCCAACTGTATGCTATGTCCCACTCCATCTCTCAGTATCTTCCCTCAGCTGTGGTCCTGCCTGGGGAGTCCAGCAGCTTGTCTGCACTGCCTGCTGGTCAAGAGGTGGCACACACATCCCATACCACAGCCTTCCTGCTCTCAGCCCTGGTAGCAGAGCTGGCTCTGGAGCAGCTCATCCTCTAACCACAGAGAAGTTCCTGCTCGGCCCCAGGATGAAACAGGACATTTTTGGCAACAGGCTTGAGCAGTTACTTAGCATCTGTGGCCTGGGATTTAGGCAGACTTTTCTCAAGGTACTTTCTTGACACAAAAGCCATCATTCTTCTGAATGTCAAGTCTGAGTCCTTTGAACAAAGGAAGTAGACACTTGAGCTTCTCAAACAATTGTTTCAATGTTTGAAGAGCATGGTGGATTTGTTCCCTGGCATCTTAGGAACCACTCAGCTATTTTGCCTGAACTTTACACCATAAAATCAGGAGGCACCTCACAAATGGAAAGAAAATTTGGCAGAGTTGTAAACTACTAGAAAGCAACCCTTACAGTGAGAAATATTAGAAAACCTTAGCAGAAGCACCTGTCTATTCAGGCTTCTTAACATTTCCCATATGACCTTTGTTGTCTTTATGTATTAACTTGTATCCTGTGTACTTTCTGAAACATAATTTATATAAGCTTTTAATTGAAATTTAGTGTTTCCTTCCTTTGTTTCTCTCTTAATACATGCACAAAAAAGCCCCTAGAGCAAAACAAAATACCCAAACCATCATGGGATAAGCACTGATCTTCGGTTTATTTGCCAGAACAAAGAACAGAACATTTTTAGGAAGACAGGGAACCATCCCTGCTTCTGCAGGAAATGTGTGCAGCAAACTCACAAAGGCCAGGTTAGAAAGGTATAAAGGGGAGGAAGAGGAGCAGGGCTACAGAGGACAGGAAAAAATGCAGCAGAGGGTAGACTTTCTGCTCAGACCCCTCCCTTGAGGTCTTGAGGAGCCAGTGTAAAACCATTAGGAGGAGGTGACAGTGAGGTTGAAATACCTGCCCAACAAGCAGTCAGTTTTCCATGTAGACTGTAGAACAGGAACTGAATTTTCCACTTAGTGACTCCACAGCTTTAGATTATGGGGACATCTCCTCTTTGTCTTGCTTTCAAGAGTTATTAGCTCATGCACTTGGGGGAAAGGGTGGGAAAGCTTATAGTACATAGGACTGTGTAAAGAAACATCCCTCTGGGGTATGTGGAAGCAATTACATAAACATCCTCTGAAAGATCCTTGCATTTCTCCAAGGTATGGGTGGTGACAATTGCTACACAAATAATTTCCTATTGCTTCTACACTGCTGTATGAAAGCAGTTAGTATACATTGATCTCTGCTACAAATGAAACAAAGCAAATCTTTGGGTTCATCCCAGAGACCTGAAAGTATCAAACCTTTGCACGTTTGAAATTCTGCAGAGCATTTTAGGTTACGTAAGTCCACTCATTTGAAACTGATTTTCAGTCTTAGAGCTTTATTATTAAACAGTTGGCCTACATTACAGTCAGGACTGTTCCCTACCTCAACTACCTCAGCATACAAATGGACTAGAAATTCTTGCTCTCAAGGGCTGAACAGCTATTTCCATAGTAGGACTTCAGTAACATTCCATGAAGAATTACTGCATAGAACAGAGCACCAAGGCAATGTCTGCAGCAATCTGTATCATAGGCAGAACCCTGGTACCACCCTATCTTAGAGCTTCCTCACCCTCAGCACAGTCACACACACACACATTGCTTCAGAGGATGTGAGGTCTGGAG